TTACTGTCGAGAGATTTATATAGTCAATCGAGACGCCAAGCGTCGAGATTGACTATTAATCTCGAGACAGAAATGAAAACTTTCCTCCGAGGTTTGTATACTATTTTATTTGCAAGCACACCAATTAATTATGATTATTCATTTAATTTTTATAAAACAAACATGCCAAAATGTGTCATTCACTGTTTTGACGTTTTTACCTGACATGTTCTCATTGTTTCCAGCAAAGGTAAATAAATTAGAGTGAGGGAAATCGGTGAGGGAAGTCGAATAGGGAAATCGGTGACGGAAATCGAAGAGGGAAGTGACACAGGTAACACTTCCAAATTTTTGAAAAATCAGTAATGTCAAGATTTCATATGTGGTTGCAAATAATAGTATATTACATACCGAGTAGGGAAGTGTTTCATTACTGTCGAGAGATTGACTATTAATCTCGAGACAGAAATGAAAACTTTCCTCCGAGGTTTGTATACTATTTTATTTGCAAGCACACCATTAATTATGATTAGTCATTTAATTTTTTTATTATTAAAAAAATAAAACAAACATGCCAAAATGTGTCATTCACTGTTTTAAAGTTTTTACCTGACATGTTCTCATTGTTGCCAGCAAAGGTGAATAAATTAGAGTGAGGGAAATCGGTGAGGGAAGTCGAATAGGGAAATCGGTGAGGGAAATCGAAGAGGGAAGTGACACAGGTAAAGTGACACTTCCAAATTTTTACAAAGTCAGTAATGTCAAGATTACATACATGGTTGCAAATAAAAGCCTTTACTGCCCTTTTCCTGCATTAGAAATGTGATTTTACTTCACACTTTAGGTTGTGAACTAAGTTACTTTAGACACTATAGGGCGTAAAGTTGTGGTATATTTTTTTCAAATTTTTGGCATCGAGCGTTATGATCTATATCGCCCGCTTGCAATATTGTCGGTAGTAGAAAAAAAAATGTATGCAACAGGTGTGTAAAGCTTCTTTTTTCATACCTTTGTGAAAAAAGGTTCACTTCAGACATCTCTATTTATGTTTTATACCAAAAATTCTAGTAACGACAATATAAAGCCATATACATTTTAAAAAATATACCTACCACAACTTTACGCCCTAATGTCTAACTTAGTTTACAGGGTGTAAAGTAAAAGCACATTTTTAGTGCAGAAAAAGGGCAGCAAAGGCTTTTGTGATATAAAATTCCATACTTGTGGGTATTTATTATTTATGTATTTTTGCGAAAAAACTAATGCAATTTAGGGCGGGTAAAACTATTTTAACAGAATAACTAAAAGTTAACTTCTCGAATGACGTTACTTCTCATGGTAATTTCAGAAGTTAACTTTTAGTTAGGTATCTGTCAATACAGTTTTATAATATCGGCCCGTAATAAACTTTTTTGCTGTTGTGAATTACTTTACGCAATAGTGCGTAAAATCTATTTCCACGTCTTTTGAACAGTGCGTAAAGTAAGTACTTCACGCGCGATAGTAGAAAAAAAAAATTCAACTAAAACCAAAGGCAACTGTTTTTATGCCAATCGAGCTAAGGTATGTATTTTTTGTAACAAGTAGGTAGGTACCTAAAAAACCTATATTTTAGGTTCGTGAAACAAACAATACTTTTTTGTAATAGCTCAAAGATGTAAAGTGAATGTGACAACATTAAAAATTTTAAACTGTTTATGCAGGAGCGACAGGGTTGCTATGACGACTTTTAGGAACTAGGCTGAAAATGGAGCATTTTACGGTGTAGGCCCTATATCTCGCGAATTACTTAACCTATGTTCAAAAACTGTTTCAAAATTAGAAAAAAAAGCGCATATTTTTAAGCTTCTTTTGGTAAGAAGTACCTACGGTCTAAGTTTAAGCTACGGTTCAAAGAAAATTGAAAAAAACCAATTCAATTTATTTTTCAATTTTTTTTTTTTTTTTGACAGAAATTCTACCTGTCAAAATGGTTTTATATTTTTATTTCATTCTTTAGTCCAAAACAATAGTTATTTGTTTTACTAGGCAGAAAAGTACAAGATTTAATGCCGCGGCTGGTGTTTCATAGCCGAGGCTAGGAAACCAGCCGAGGCATTAAATCTGCTTTTCTGCCATGTAAAACATATAATTTTTTCTCCGAATGCTCAAATTCACACATGGACATATTTTTTGTATTTATTTCATTCATTATTATTAGCCAAATAATTAAATTATTTTGACAATTATCATTGTCACCATCAATTTCAAATACCAAATTGAGTGAAATTATTACCTGGAACGTTGTGACACTGTCACTTTTAATGCCTAGTCAGTAAAAGTCCACCACAGTAAAAGTCCACTTTTACTGCCTAGGCAGTAAAAATACAACTTTTGATCCTGTCAAGTGTCATTAAAAGGCCGCTTTTACTGTCATTCGGAGAAAAAGGTATTTTTTTTACTTGAGGAAAATCGGTTAATAAATAAGAAAGTTACGATTTTTTTCAAGAATAGCACCAGCCGCCATCTTCAATTCATCATGGCGGAAAAAAGCAAGCCTCCTAGGAGGTGTAACTTTTTTTTACAGAGTACTATTGATGGGTACTATCATCTGAAAAAAAATCAGCTTGATTGCAAAAACTTCTCCTAAAGGCCATTTTTTTAGCTAACTGCCCTGGCCTATTGTGAGATGGGCTCAAACGGATAGTCCAGCGAGTTTAGTTTAGTCAGTCGCTTAAATTATTGTCTAGGAAATTTGGGAATAATAACGACAGACATTTTTCCGTCGGGATCAAATTATGAAATGATAAGTAATTTGATCTGGCGATTGTAATAACTATTGAACTAAAAACATAACAAAAATAATTTAAAAGGACCGACATATTTTGCGCCAGTGCCACGGCCCCTTGGCCCCTTAGAGCAAGCTGCCACTGTTTAAATGTGCATATTTGTATTTTTGGAGTTTGTTTGATATACCTTATATAGGTATTACTTTTTCTTAAAGTATATTGGGGGCCCATATACAGGGGCACGCCCGCGTGGCGGGGTCTGCGGGGCCGTTTGACACGCGCCTGCTATCAGTCTGTTAACATTTATCAGATGGATAACAGTAAGTGCTATTCACCAATAAAAATAATCCTTCCGACAACAAACAGACTGATAAAAATAAAAATCCATATATTCTGTGAACAGTTTTTCCCTTCATTTCATTTAACAATCTCAAAATTTGTCTGTATTAGGTATATTTATTTATTAATAATAACTTTTCTTGGGCTGTGAAACAAGTAAACAACTTCCTAATCCTAATAATTTGATGATTGTTGTGCAACATTGAAGTGGTCACCGCAATACAAAGCTGAAAAGACCCGGTTGCAATTAAAATCTGATTTTTTTTAGATTATTGGTTTATTTCTTTCGTCTGCAATGGCTCCAAGACTAGGTTCAGTGTCCAGAGGTTTATTTTCAGCCTTTGAAAGCTATTTTTGTTTATTCTGAATCTTTTATGAAACTCCAAATCATCCAATTCAGTGAATAAATCATTCTTGCCTTAACATTTCTGGGCCTGGGAAGATCTTCATCTGATATATGGATCATCCAATGAACCTCCAAAAAAATTCAGGTCAATTTCATCCATTCTGCTCATTTTGCCAAAAAATAAAAACTTATAAAGCACCTAACACAAAATAAAATTTAACGAACCATCCATTCTTTCCAATTTATGGATACATTCGATTTTTTTTTGAAAAAAAAAACAATAACAATAACACTTATCAGACAGATAACTTCCTTAACAGCCCAAATTTCGCCTGACAACTTTATCATACTGATATCTTCTACTCAAGGTTGGTGAATACCGAATTTTACGTTAACAGTCTGACAAGTAGTTTATCAGACTGATAAGCAGTTAGGCCGTAATAAGTCGAATAAATTCGATTGGCGCATTTTGGCGTCGGATATATTATTGCCAGGTATATATTTGGTTTCCTCAAAAGTTTTGTCTCATCTCGCCCGGCCATCTCAAGTCAACCAGTTTGATGGCACCTTTAAAAAAAAGTACCACTTGACCCATCTTCCCTATCAAAAAAAAAGGTGAAGGTCACCCCACTCGATGAGCGTTTTTCTTAATCGACCTAAGAACACCCTAAAACGCCTCTGTTTCGATGTTCGTGAAACACCCTGTATTTATTTTTTATTTTCCTCAAAAGCAAATTATTATAGTAATACACCACACCACACCATACACTCTATGAAACATTCTTCACCTTCAAGCAGATAAATTAATAATCCCTATACAAAATAATGTAACAAAGTGAACGAGATCCCATACGTATCAACATTGAGAGAGATGCATAGCGAGTCGAGAAACTCGGCGGTCAGATCTTGCTCTCCCATAAACCCTTGACATTTCTTAATGTTTATTGTTATATTTTTGTTAATTTTAGAAGTAACTGGCACTTTCCATAAGAACTTAATGTGTTAGAGAGAGACCGAGAAGAGAATTTTGGTAGGAAATTACTAAAAAGTAAAAAAAAAAATATTTTTTCGAATAAATGCGATACGTCATAGGTTTTGGGACATTAGAAGCTCTTAAAATTTGAAATAAAAAGTCCAGGGTCGTATTAAAAAAAATAAAATTGATGATGGTGGCCCAAAGACGAAACGTCAGATTTTAAATTTGATGGTAGCATCTAAAGGGGAAAAATGACAACAATGAAGTGACATTTATTTAAAAATTGCTCTTCAAATAGACTCAGAAAAAAATATAAATAATTTTAGAAAATTTTGGTTTTCTCCGAATATCTTCAGAAGTATTCGGAATTTTTCAAATTTCAAAACGGCATTTTATTGTTCATAAAATTGCACAACATTGCCATAATTTAACTAACCTCGTATCTCTTATAGTTTCCGATATCTCAATGGTCACCCTTGAATTTGGGACACCCACTTATTTTTGCTGATACTGTGACAGTTTACTTCCCCTAAGATAGCGATTTTTACCTTTCCTCCTTGCTGTTAGTAAAGAATACCTAACCTTTTTTCAGGAATCTTCACCATCATTAGCAACAACAAATGAATCAAATTCCGATAAAGATTCTGATGGTTTCCGATCTAGATCCTCGACACTAGATTCTCAATACGAAGGCAAAGACAATTATTTGGCTGTGAAAAATCCCCGACCAAGTTCCATTTCTCCAGACAGAAGCGTTGGATCTGACAAGGGCTTGAAATCACCTATGATGGACATGTAAGTATTATCCTACTCTTATAATAATTTTCATGTTACAAGAGGTACATAAGCCTGTGAATAATCAGCTCAATAAAGCCCTATGTAGAGCAACACAACTTTTGTATTTAAACCATTTACTTGCTAACTATAATAAGTTCTAGTCTAGGTAGGGTTATAAAATTAAATTGTGAAGGTGGTTTCATAAATTCTGTAAATTTGGTCAAAAAAAAATAATCTAGATATTGACACCCATGATCAGCTTAGATATGTAGAGCCTATACCTTCGTTCAATTGAAAATGAGACATATTCAGTTAGTCATAACTATTTATTTCTAGTACCTACACTTTGTATAAATACTGATTGTATATACACGAGTATTCACATATTTCAATACCTACAATGTATCACATAAAAGTTTTGTTCCAAAAATCTAGATACCATTTACATTGTAGTGGCCAGCTTTGTAACGGAACAGAAATATCTATCTGAGGAAAATAAAACATTAAATTATTACTTACTCTATGAAAATAAAACTAGCAGCTAAACCACTACAAAACAGTTTTTTTGTGCTTATTAACTACATTCCGCCATAATAGCGTGCATGATGTTGGACATTTGCCATAGTGGTCACAATATTTCCTTGCTGGTTCATAGCATACCCTGTGTTTGTGAGCTGATAGGAAAATGTATTAGAGTTATGGGTTCCATTATTTTGCTGTGGAACTATATTAGCATTCGAGATTATTTGAGGTACAGAAGTAACCAAAAAAGCTTGAGATTGCTGATGTTGATTTCCTCCACTTTCATTAGAAGCGACAACAAGAGGAATCACTTGTTGTATTTCATTGTTTAGTATAAATTTTTGAGCTTGCTGAACTGTTTGATCTCTTGGTCGCTCTAGAGTTTGAATATGTTGCGTGGACTGTTGAATTTGAGCCTGTTCTTGAGTATGCTGCACTGTTATCTGTTGTAGTTGTGGTTGCTGCTGCTCCTGTTGTGATTGTTGTTTTTGTTGTTGTTTTTGCTGCTGCTGATGTTGATTGCAGTGATTGTTTCCTTTTGGCTCTAATTTGAAAAACTTAACATGGGGAAATTGCTCCTTCATGAAATGCCGAAAGGTTGAATACCCCATAACTTTGATACCAAGTTCTAAAATATTACAATAATTCTTGTAGGCATCATGCAATTTTTTTCGGGTCACATCCCACGGTAATTGAACTGCCTGTTTAATGTCAAGGATGTCTGTTCCACCAGTATGTTGTTCTAAGTATTGTTTCAAAAATTCACGCGCGTGGCAATAAATATCCAAAGAAAGAGTATTATGTGGTCTTCTCCCATGATTTCCATGAACTCTTGGTGCAACTCCATGTGTCATCACATGCTTTCTAATGTTTTTTAATTGATAATGAGTACAATTTTCAAGGTATAAAAATGCATCTAGACATACTCTTCTTCCTTGAAATACATATCGTGCTCTAAGTCTTCTTCTTTCTTTATCTCTAACAGTAGTAGTAGGGTTTGCGAGGGATGCCATTGTAACCCCCATTAAATACATATCATGTTCTCCTTTGGTAAGTTCAGCAATATCATGTCTGTGCTTAAATACTTTTTCAGCATCAAGTCCCCTAAAACAACTTTCATCTTGACACTCACAACCTCTTTTGAAGTGGTCTTTAACTTGAGCAGGACTTTCCTCTAATTTTGTAGGTTCATTTGAAGATGGCAAAGGTGTTTTCCTCTTTCTTTTTGTAGGTAGGACCTTTTTCTTTGCATAAGTACTGGGTACTTGAGATTTATCTTTAGGAGTTGTTTTGGAAGCTCTTAATATCACAACTGGAGTTTCTTCTGGTTCATCAACTGGGTAAATAGGTTGCATATTTGAGTCTGTTGGATCTTCTACTATTGTACCTTCCCAAATAACCTAGTAATAGAGATGATTATTTTTTTTTACACAATTCAATAAGAAAATATTTATTACCACTTGCTGATCATCCATAGAACTGGAATAATGGTTCGCCCCGTCAATTGATGAGAAAATAGAGTGTGATACTGAAACCGGAGCATACTGAATCGTGGTTTCTGCATTAGCTACATTAGTAGTAGCCGCATTTTTGTGTAACGGACGTGAAGATGATGATTGATTATCATTTCCATCAACTATAATTTCCAACTCTTCTATTTCTTCTTTTGTAAGTCGAGTGTGAAGAACTTCACTTGCTTCTTCAACAGCTGGATCTTCCTGCATCTATAAAGAGAAAAACTAGTCTACATGTTTGTAAACGTTTCTTGTTTCTTAGCAACTTTTCATTTGCAATGAAACATCGTGGGGGGCAAAATCAGAGGCATTTATGTCGTTCAATCTTCCTTGAAAATAAAATTTTAACTTTACCTTTCTTGTTTGATCTTGAGACTGCTAATCATAACCACAACAATTTGGAATTTGGGGTGCAATGGAACGAATTTCTGGGCAGTTGAATACGTGTGGGGGCGATAATTTTTCTCTTCTAATTCCAACAACCACCCTGACAAAACAATCAATAATGATTTATGAAAGCAAAAAAATCTATAATCAACTGAAATCTCTTGAAAAAATTAAGAAGTTCTTTGAGGGAGCTCATAGTCAGTAAGGCATATCCTCGGGCATATCCAAGGACATATCACACTATGGTAGAATTGTATGCTGATTTATGTGTCTGAAATTCCTGCACTGATAATAAGTATGCTAAAGAACTGTCTTCATTGCGTTCCGCTTTGTGAATGAGATTGTAGGTATCGTGCACAATAAAGCATTTTTTTGAAAAAGTTAAGCTTTACTGCTTTTCTCTATAATAATTACTTATAATAAATTGGCCCTTGGAACCAAGACGGGGAGAAACATAGCACAAATGTCTAAATTGTCTGTTTTTTTTTTTTAGTTTTACTTCTTAGCTTTTCTTTCTCGTAAAGTAAACTGTAGGTATATTTGGTTTTGTTAGTTTTATTGCCTACTGTACACATACTGTAAATATGCAGGGCCGGTTTAACCAGGGGTCTTTTGGGTGCAGCAGCACCGGGCGGCAAAATCTTAGGGGCGGCGCGTAACGACCCCTAAAATTTCGATGAATCCTCTTTATTATTACGTTTTTATTTCTTGAACCATAATACGAAAAAGCAACGCAAAAAGCTACAAGTTAGTTTAGGGATTACTACCCATTCGTATAGAAAAAATAAGTAAGTACAATTACGCCCGTCTCTATAGCAGGGTTGTCAGACGTCCCACCTTAGGAGGGACAGTCCCGCATTTTGTTAATCGGTCCCGCCTTTTTTTTTATTAATTTCAAGTCCCGCTTTTCACGTGAATTGTCCCGGTTTTCCCGCTTTTTCCACCCAATCTTTACATTTAGTGCAAAAAACACGCTCATTTCACAACTATATAACTATTTCTTTATTTAAAATCGACGCAAAAATCAAAAAACGAGCCTGAATCACAAGCATTTCATCGAGGTCTGCGGGTGACGTCACCACTATTAGCTGCTGACGTGGTGACGTCACTCGCAGACCTTGTGGACTCGAAAACCGGCGAACGTACGCCTTCTCAGGATGGTTTTAATAATAAATTTTGTATGTTGTAGGTATAAAACTGTCAAAAATTCCAACCAAATCCAAATCTTTCATTGCGAAAACTAGCATCTGCAAAAAACTTTTTTTCTGGCCATTGAAAAATAAACAACTTTCGTAACAAAAATCATTTCTTCTATGATCGTTAGAAAATAAACAACCTTAGCCGAAAACGTCACTTTCGTCACTAGTGATAAAATATCTAGTGACGAAAGTGAATGATTAGGATTTTACGTGTTAAAAACATTCTTTCAAATTCAATTATAATATACTATACTATAATATAATGTCTTTTTTTTTTGGTCGAGTTTTGGTTGAATTCTTAACAAAATTTGGGCGTGGCTCCAAAAAATTTGTTTCGCTTTTGCTCAAGGGGGTCCATAGGAGGGGGACACATTGGGCACTTGCCCCTCCCCCTCCCTTATGCTTTTGGGCGTGGAACCCAATGAAGTAGTAAGAAGGTTGGAATAGCCCTTTGCCTATCTACTCAATACATATATTTGCGGCCAACATAAGAGTGAGAGAACCGGATAGATCCATGAGACTCTCTTGCCCTTACTAGCGCTATCTCATTCTGGAATCAATTGAATGACGCAAAGCTCATTCCAAACCGTCTTTCTACTTCATTGGTGGAACCCGAGGGAGCTTTCCCTCTGGATAACATCAGTACCGCTTTTTCATTTCATAGATCTGGCAACCCTGCTCTATAGCCATGCCCAGCTCTACTTGAATTCCTGGAACCGTATTAAGGCCGGGACACATCTATCATACATTCTTCTGATCCGACTCCGATCATACAATCAAGGTCCTTAATCTTGGAATAGGCGAGCAGCGTTCCCAGGAGAACGCCTAGGAACACTGATCTCTGTTCTAAGAATAAGGACCCTGATTGTATGATCGGAGTCGGATCGGAAGAATGTATGACAGATGTGTCCCGGACTTTTACTCGTGCGATAGCCGACAGCAGTCAGCTCGCATCTCACTTCAATTATTTATTTCAAGATAATAATAATATTGTTTGGCGGTGGCGCCGTCGCCGTTGCGTAATAAATATATACAGGGTGTCCCTGGGAAAACAGTCCACCCGATTTTTTTCGATTTGGAAGGAAAATCGGGAAAAACGTTCGGAAACGCCGATTTTTGATTTGAGGGTGAAATATTTTTCAATTTATTTTCATCCCCGTAGCTTCAATTCCTTAGCTAGGGGCAGAACAACCCCACAAATTTAAATAGGGGATAGGGGTTATGTTACACCTCTTTTCAAAGGTCACATCGAGTTCTTTATGGCCTGTCTTATTATTTTCATCCGTAACGAAATGACAGCTTGTCAAAATCTTGGAAAGAGGCTATTGTTTTGGTAGGAGTAAAAGTGGTACTTGCCTCCCTTAATAAACATACTTATAATTTACAATTCACGTGTTCACCTGATTAATGATAATGATAAAAAACTTCAATTTCAAGTATTTTTATTAAGGGGAGGTAAGTATCGCTTTTACTCCCACTAAAGAATAGTCTATTTCCAAGATTTTGACACGCTGTCATTTTGTTACGGATGAAAATGATAAGACGAAAATCTAGGGCCATAAAGAGCTCGATAAGACCTTTAAAAAGAGGTAGGACACGACCCCTGTCCCCTATTCAAATTTGGGGGGTTGTTTCCCTCCCCAGCTAGGGGGTTAAAACTACGAGGGTTAAAAAAACTGAAAAATGGTTCCCTCTCAAATCAAAAATCGACGTGTCCGAGCGTTTTTCCAGATTCTCATTCCAAATCCAATAAATCGAGATGGACTGTTTTCCCTAGGACACCCTGTATAAAAGAATTGAATATATTTTTTGAAATAAATGGTTCAAAAAAAATTGATTTGTTTTATTCCGAACGGACGGGGGGCGCTGCGTTTTTGTAGCACCGGGCGGCAGACTATGTTAAGCCGGTACTGTAAATATGTCGTCCATTTTGTTGTAGAAGAGCTCAAGTGTCAAATTTACATTAGTAAATTATTTTAATTCATCCTAGCTAGTAGCTTGAAACAGTCAAATAATATGCCTTTCTAAAATTAAATTTATTAGTTTTGTTGTTGTTACATTGTTTTTGAGGCTTCACTTTATACTTTTTAAGATTCACTTTATGTTTGGTGGATGATGGTGCTGGTGCACTAATAATAAACTTTATTTGAATATTCAAAAATATAAAATTATTACCTTTTCAAGGAAGAAGTCACCTTATAGTCATACTTATTTTCTTAATAATGATGAAATTATGAGAGTTGAGACATTGAAACTATCAAAAACCTGGGAATTTTCTTTGATTCAGAACTGACAATTACTGAACATATTGACACTATTGCAAACAAGTCCCCAAAAATGTTAGGTTTTATGCTCAGGGTCTTTAAGAGACTTTGCAATATTTTCACGTTAAAAATGGTCTATTGCGCTATTGTCAGATCATTACTGGAATATTCATGTCGAGTTTGATCAACACATGATTTATATATTTATAAAATTCGTCTTGAAAAATTCAAAGAAAATTCCTCAGATATACTTATTGCATTTGAATTAGGGAAGATATTAATTTTATTGACTTAATGTCGCTTCTTAACTTAACTTCATTAGAACAATATCGACAAATCTGTGATCTTTGTATGGTTTTTAAAATAGTTAATAATGTTTGATTGTCCTGATTTATTATCTATACCTTTTCAACTTCAAATTGGGACTAAACAACTTCAAGTTGGGAACTAACAAAATCAAATTGAGAATTAACAATATCAAATTGGGAATAATCATATTTAATTTGGTACTAATCAACTTCAAATTGCGACTAATCAATTTTAATTTGGGAAGAAACAAATTCAAATTGGGAATAGACTTCAATTTAGAAATTATATTTGAGACTTTGACTTTGTTTTTCCTTCCAATTACATTCAAGTCCCTTAGACAATCATGAACTATTTCTTCGAATTTGAGAAAAATATTTGTGCCAGACATGTAGCTCATATTCAACGCTTTATACCTGATGTGCTAAACATGGCTGATTAGTGATTTGCAAATTGTGAATGAAAACATTTCATCAAAATGAGATTTTGTTCAAATTTTTCTTTTATTTCAGCGTAATTTCAGGATATTCCTCTATGTATGTCGTTTATACCTTATGTTCTTCTAAAATGTTTGCGTTTCTTTATCCCCCACGTTTCCTTCGAACAACTTCTTGGGTACCTACCCATCGGTCCGCTGTAGATTTTTTTATACCCAGTGTGTTAGGTAATCCTCTTTAGTCGCCTTTGATATTAAAAACAGCACATATTTGCTTTTCAGCATTTTCTGCATCAGGTGCTTTAATGTAAGGCATTTTGTTAATTTAATATACGGTTTAAACGCGAACCTGCCACTTGCACTGATTTTCTAGCGCTTGGAAGGATAATTTTCGTATTTTAAGATGGAAAGTTTTTAGTTTAAGAAATTATTAGTGGAAAACCCGGATGTTTGCAAAAGTTATGATTTCTTTGTGACAAACCTTTACCTACTAAGCAATTAGGTAGGTACTATCCAGGATTTGTTTCCTTGTTTTTCTCAACAAAATCCTGAATTCTGATGTATATTTTATATTTTATTTATCTGCTATTCAAAGTATCGACACAAGTTGATGTGGAGGATAATAAATAGCTTGGATCCATACACCGTTTATCTAGAGAGTTTTTGGTTTTTTAATATGGATTTCGTCAGATTTTTTCTCTTTTGCTACAATCCATGAAGCCCTGCAAAGTACAGACAAATCGTTTTTTCTCCGTTAAAAACCTGTGTTTTGTCGCTGCAGGAACGACACTACATAACGTATGCATTTCCCAAAAAATCAACACTTTACAGACTTTACACAAATCAAAAATCACAATAAAACGTAGTGCTTATGGCATTGGCCTCCATTTTGAAT